AAAATCAGAAACGTAGTTTCACTTTATTGACCAGAAATCCTATATATACAGTCACCATATGGATGTGTATGACGCATGCCATATATGGATGTCCATGACTGAATCCATATGGACTGAATCCAGATGAAATGTGAGATATTTTATGGATGTCCATACGTCATCCATTGTATACAAGAGAGATGAGATGTCCAGAGGAGGATGGCCATAGGACCGAGTTGTGTTATCAAGGGGATGTCACTGATGTGGATTTAGGATTATCTAATTCCTGATATATGATCAACAAGGATATACCTATCTGATGTACGATTATCTACACGAATTCAGATCAAACGGCGTAGTGGAAGATAGATCTCGAATATTCCTGACTGTCTGCAGAGTTCAGTTTCGTCATCCGATTTTGTTCAGTTCGCCGAGCAACTTTGTAGTTCGTGCTACTCGAAATGGGTTTATTAAGCCGAAGTGATCAAGCAATTGATTACCCCCATTCGAGCCAAGAACGTGTATATGACTTTGAATACAATTTCGAGTTCATAAAACAGATTTCCTAAATACAGTGCTTCCAGCTGTATGATTTGTCTATATGGAATTGGTAATCTCCCGCACGCAGACTCTCGGCATTATTAAGTCTCTTCCACATTATAGTGTTGGTGCTTCAAGGGCGGATACATAGGGGGGGTTATAGGGGTCATAACCCTTCCCCCTGGGACCAGGTGAACCGGTGATTTTTCGGTGAGCTTTCTGCTCAATTCACCAAAACAAATGGACAGTGGCCATACTTACTCAAAAAAATTGATGGGTTAAATCAACCAAAAAGAGCATATATATGAAAATGAGCCTATCTTGTTTAATAAATAAATCAACCAGCGAACAATGGTTGAATATGTTCAGTCACCATACGAATGTAATTGTCGTTTTGATCAAGAAAATTGGTTATCAACCAGATTTTAATCTCACAACAAAATGGGTGGTATGTCAACCATAATTTTTGTCCCTCCACTTATATTTTGTATAGATAGCCATATCATATTTGCTTCACCAACAAAGTGCATAGTAGATATATAGGTATATTAACTATTTTTCAGGTTCTTGTACCACTGAATTAATATAGATTTCATCATCTTATATGGTGGTCAACTTTACAAAATATCTACAGTATAATTCTCTTCATTTGTAATTTCTCGTCTCCGTTATTTGAATGTACTCTTCCATTTATCCTTTATGACAATTAATGGGCGTTATTCAATTGCTATACCACAGTTTATCATCTTCTTCCTGCAAGAAATGTATTGAATCAAAATATGAATTTAATATTGAATTGATTGAATTCATGAATGATATACTCACCATCACATCATCTGATGAATTTTCCTCATCATGATTATTAATTGGGAAGACTACATCAGTGGTACTCCTTGACGAGAGATTTCAAAATGTTCTCAATCTTCTTGTATGTTTCTGGTACTCGTGATATACAACCTCCCTGGGGATATATCCACTGCTTCTGTACTGAATGATCCAAAAATTGAAGGGAGTCCTGAGAAAAAGAGACGAACTTGAGCAATAATTTCATACGGTGAGTTGAATCATTACCAACTTTAGTACTAAATTACAACTCGATATATTGAATACAGTGATGACACCAAAATCACTTCATTGCAGAATAGGTATAACGTGAAACGATAATATCAAAATAATATAAAGCCACAACACAAAGAACAAAATAAGATGCAAGCAACAAAATCTCATATTGACGCTGTCGCCCTGCAAATACCAATGGAAAGATCACAAGCTCATTGTTATTGTCAAAGAAGGTTGATTGAGTTTATCCTACTGTTCGTTTGTCTACCAACTATGACAGTGAACGAGCTGTAATAATATATTTGTTATACAACATGATATAGTTTTTAAAGACTATCTTTAAAGTGATTTGAAATTGTTGCAGGATGATTTTACCTTCCTTTTCGATTGATTACCAACTTTAACAGTGAACAAGCTGTAATGATATCTTAGTTACAATATATAATATAGTTGAAATACTATCTCTAGTTTGATTTGAAATACTTATATAATTATGTTGATTATAACTTCCTATTCGTTTGTCTACCAAATATAACAGTGAGCGACATGTACATTGTACAATTCTTCCTCAATTGTTTTGACGATCACCTAATCATTGAATGTATACCATCATTATATTTTTATTCAACAATTATAATGATGTTGTTGATTAAACACATTTTTTTGTCAATTCAACCCATACTATTTCTTTGAGTGATAATAACACGACACGTTGATGAGCACACAAAGCTGTAATTAATCGCGATTGTATTGCCCATTATTATATAATGTTATAATTTGTTTAGGTTTTTTTTATTCTTCTCCGCATAGAGATTGTGTTCTCTGATAATTGATGGTAAAATACTCGTGAGATGATGATTACTGAAGTATTTTTATAGGAAAAAGTTCCTATATATAAACTTTGTAGAAAAATGAATTCCTTCAAATAGTAGACACCCTGTAGACGGTTTTTTCTTGATCATTCCGAAACCGTTCATTAAAAAAATCACAAAATGAGATACATCGCATGATGCTAATGCTGAATCTGAAATAAAGCTCAGAATTTCAAAATCTTATTCGTTGATGAGGGTGAAAACAATAAAAAATTTGATGGTATTTTTTTCCACATGCTCATCTCAGAATATTCTTCACGTGAAAACGGTACTCTCAATTCAAATTGATAGGGCAATTTGTTTTTGGAAGAATCATCGATAGATCGCAATTTTTTATATTCCCAGACAGCACTGGATATTCCTAGAATATTCTCTGAATATGCTGAAAGAGAAGAATATATTCCGAATATCCTTCGAATATTCTTGGAATATAAACGTGCCTCTGGAACATTCAAAGAATATTCAAATGTGAATATTCTAGTAATATTCCAAACTGAATATACGAGGAATATTCCAGAAGGAATATTCTGAGTTGGATAGTGCAGGAAATATTCAGGTATGAATATTTCAGGAATATTCCAATCTGAATATTCTGTTCCTGTATATTCATGGAATATTCCAATAATATTCCCATGTGTTTCAATGAAATTGTAAAGTATGGAAATTAACCAATCACTATTTTATAGATGTGAGTCATTGATTCTGAAATCGGTGGTAGAAGTCCATCGTATTTCAAAGTAAAGTGGTTTTATTACCAGGGATCAAAAACACAAAGTCGTCTCTACAATTTTGATAGGTAGTGATCAAAGTACTCAAAGATCGTACATGTTAAGAGCCCATATGGAACTGGAAGTGTTTATGATCCGCTTCTGAACAACGCAATTCAATGAATTATTGTTATGTACAGTATTATTCAACTCGATTACTGGCCTAGTGGTTAAGGCGTTGATCTGACAGTCTGCAAGTCCCGAGTTCGAACCCATCTTATTGGGTCAGCTTTTTTTAATTATGAATATGTATTAAGGAATATTCCCGGAATATATTCATTTATATATATTCCTGTATTATTCCTGGAATATTCCGAATATTATCTGAATATTCCTAGAATATTATAGGTACATTTTGAATATATAGGGAATATTCCTTGTGTAATATTCCGGGAATATATAAAATTTTCCCCACCAACACATTCAGGGGGAATATTCCGTAGGTGATATGTATATCCCTGGCATGTTCATGAATATTCGCAATATCCAAAAAGAATATTCTATGAATATTCATGGAATATCTGGTGCTGTCTGGGTTGATGCATCGGCATTATCACATAAAATGACTGGTATGGAGAGATTCAAACTCGGTATCAAACCTAAAAATACCAATATGAAATATATAGGAATATGTCCAACAACAACCTCGAAAATCTCTCATTAGAATTGACAACGAAAAAATTCGATGAAATATATAATACAGATTACTTAATTATATCGACTCAGCAATTGATTCATTCTTGTGCGTACTCTGCTATATTACATAGATATATTTTGTATTATCAAATTATGCAAAAATCACAATGTCACAAAATCAAGTTGGATAACTCCTAATGTCAGGAATGCCAATAAAGAATCTGCATTGGTTTTTCGCCACAACAAATTGTGACATCCTTCGTGATAAATATAAAGTAGCTAAACTGAACTATGCTTATACCTACTCAGAAACGGAAAACTTGGATATTATCAGGATTTGATTATTATAACTCAAGCAATTGACAAAAACAGTAAGGAAACAGGTAGGTAGAAACAAAGTACTAGCATCACTCTCAGTATCATACTGATGATGAGAAGATGGTGTGCCTACGCGTGACGTCATCTGGGATACCAATATCAGCTGCTAGTCACAGACAGATACCGTTGCCATGGGCGTGCGCAATGAATTCAATCATGTTTATTGAAAGTTCTACGAGTTTCCCGATCTGTTTAGAAATAATTCAATTTATATAAAGCAGGTAACTATTTCATTGATTCTGGAAATTGTGATCTCGAGGTAATTCGCAATCGCAAATAGCAAATACATACGAATTATCATGCATTGCCAATCCCATCTGAATGATCCACTACTGTGTCGATTCTGACAGATTAAAATTGAGCAGTTAACGACGTTGACATTGCTTCTGCTCCGACAACAGGAGTATCAATTTTTGCCGTTTTGTTATTCAAATCTTTGCTGCAATTTATATTTTGTGGGGAATTAAGAGTTTTGAATTTATTTTCAATTATCTCTGACTTGATATTCGGAAGATGTACTGTAGGAATGGCATCTTGTTTCAAATATGCCAATGAACCAATATATTGAGTTCATTGGCTCAAGCAGTGTTTATATTGAGTTCATTGGCTCAAGCTCAATGATCATTGGCATAATTGTTGTAATGTGTTATTGTGTTTAGCGTGGATAGTGAGTGGTTATCCTTGTAGCAGGAAGCGAACGTTGGGAAATGAAATTATAAAAAGAAGAAGAAATAAGATAACCTCATATAATTTATAAATACTGTCAACATAACTCCAGAAAAATTTTATCTCGCAAAAATCGCAAATATCTTATTAATTATTATTTTCAACTTCCAAATTTCACTTTATTGTTGTCTAGATAATCCCGATGTTGAAATCAGTAGGAGATTTCATCGGTTATTGGTACTTTAGATACCTTCTTGTTACTGAACTGTATATGGTGGAGAAATGGGAGAGAGCCATGTTTCGTATCCTTTGAAAGATTTCTATTCATTTTTTTATCCATACTTGCAACCCGATATGCTCAATGGATGATTAGGTAAAATTGCACTTATGAGATGGTTTTTTTTGTGTATTTTTTGTACCCACCCAAGTATTTTTGTCTGCTAATTTGCTAATGAAAATGTGAACAAACCCCTATTGAGATATTTCAAGTTCGAAATTTCGCCTTCTTTTCACCCTGTCTTGGATGCATTTACAGCTATTAGCTCTTCTTATTTTGTCATTGGACACTTTATATACTCATGATGTACTTGAATGACACATTTCAATACAGAAAATTCAACAGGAAATATGATTTGTATGGCCAGTTTATCATATTTAGTGAACAATCATACCAGATCATATACCAGATGATGGATATTCAATCTATCCACACCAAATAGATGTCAAATGTCAGATTGCTTCTGAATGACATTTGGCAAAAGCCATTATTTCAAATGATATTCTTCCTTCTTTTCACTAAATATGGAAAAACCACAAAAAAATAACATTTCACTAGTTGACTTGAAAAAGAAGAGCAAATTGTTTTAAATGCCACCCAAAAGACATGGGGAAAAGAATGTGAAATTTCTAACTTTATATCAAAATCATGTTTTCTCAAAAATATATAAGTGTACCACAACAAATTTTCCAAAAAAAAACCACATGATGAGTGCAATTTTACCAATTACCATAAAAACATTATACATCACTGGTATTTCACACTTTCAACTAAAATACTGGAAATGTAGCCAAGCATAATTGTAATGTAACTAACTTCAACATTAATTATTCCTATGAGTGGATTTATGCAACACAATTAAAACCAAACTTGACTAGTATCCTTGATTATAAGTGTGAATTATACATCACTGGTATTTCACACTTTCAACTAAAATACTGGAAATGTAGGGAAGCATAATTGTAATGTTACTAACTTCAACATTAATTATTCCTATGAGTGGATTTATGCAACACAATTGAAACCAAACTTACCAAACTTGACTAGTATCCTTGATTATAAGTGTGAATACTCAATGCTATAGCATTGAGTATTCACACTTATAATCAAGGATAGTATAAAAATTAATCTTTTATTCTGATGGTATTTTATGCCAGATTTTTATACAGCACAATTAACAAACTACTCATGTGTATTCTTCAGTATTAAAATCAATGGGCTATCCTCCTTTGCCATTACAATAAAAAGGCTTCACATGGAAATAAATTGGCAGAAATAAGCAGGTAGAAGTATTGAAAAATCCAAAAAACATAAATCATAATTTTAAGGTTATAACATTCAATGCCAAGAGTGTATAGTAGTCTCAAAAATTAACATTTCACTAGAAAGTTAGTCAGCTTGATAGTTCAAGTTCAGTTTTAATATCTGCATAAAATTAAACATGTCTAACAAGAGGTTCAACTTTTTTGTCAAGAGTTGAATAAAAGTAATTTGAAGTTTAATGTAGATTTGTGATGCATAAATAAATTAATGAAAAATATGTCAGGAATCTGAATGAAAATCATATTCCTTAATTTGCCATAGATATTCTACTGTTCCTATTCTTAACAATACTGTATACTTTCAACAACTTTGTAGTACTTGGATCTGTTGAAAAGTTTATGGATTCTACAATTTTCACAGCAGTAACTATGAACAGTGCAATGCCCCATCAAACTTAGGTGTTACTGAATTATTTTTCAAAACGTTTATTTTGAAAGGTTACTATTTCTACAGTATTTTTTATATGCCATTTTATTTATCTTGAAGTGATGTGATTTCAATAAACAAAGGAATGTGTAGAATAATTCCTTGGGAATAAATTCAATAAATGGAATTACATTCAATAATAAGGGTCATGGAAACACAATGTATTACAGAATGAAATTGTCATAGAAATATAACAGGTAATATGTGATGAATGATATAGAAATTCAGACACATAAATAACACCAAAAAGATTCAAGGGGTGATTCTGTGATAAAAATTATAGTGGATGTTTGGTATAAAATATTTTTGAAAACCCCTCCTCGGAAAGGTTACACTCTTCTAATAAAAAAAAGGTTTTTCTTTTTTTTTTTTTCTTGTATATTGAGCTAAAGATAGGAACCTTGGTGAATATTATAATTATTTGTCAGTAAAACTACACATTTTATAATGGTTTCAACCCTGAAGTATGCTTAAACATGGTTTTCAAGACAAGAAAACTTCTAAATATAAAAGTTAGTAAATAAATTGGGCTTTTCAGCCACGTTTTTTTAAAAGAAAAGAAAAAATACCTTAGGGGTTGAATATTTCAACTCCTTCTAAACATTCTTCAGTGTTGAAAGGATTTCAAATATGTAGTTTTATTGACAAATAATATTCACCAAGTTTCATGTCCTTAGCTTAATATACAGGGAAAATAAAAAAGAAAAACCTTTTTTTTTTGTTGATCTTTCAAGAGGTGTAACTTTTCCCGGGAGAGGTTCATCAACAAATTGTATACCTTTTTCATCACATAATTACCACATTAAATTTTTTGGTGTTATTTAGATACACCTTTTATATTGTTCATTCACTATTGCTTAATCAATCATGTGTGATTTTATGTGTCTGCTGAGATGTGAAGATACTCTGAAACTCTGGCTGCAAACTCTGCAAGAATATGGCTTCTCCCCTGTATGCATTCTCATATGGATATTAAGATCTCCTGAGCGTGAAGTAGTCTTTCCACAAACTTTGCATGAAAATCTGAAATTGACACAAATCATCACATAACATTGAAATTTTTTCATTTTTGTTTGCATGAATGTTCACTAATGAGTATTGATGAATTGTTATGGATAGGCAATGACAGATTCATTTGGAGGATGCCTCCTCTTTTTTTTTTAATCACTTAGTAAATTGAAGAACTAAAGAAAATTAACCAACACACTAAGTCCAATCAAATGTTAACAAGTAATTGATGACTATGGATGACTCAAGTAAAATATATGAGAGCATTGCATTTTCCAGTGTTCTTAATCATGCCAGGACCCATAGAAAATATGAAGAAAGGAAACCCACTTATTGAATTTTTAAATTCATTCTATTGAAGTTTTCTACCTAGCTTGATAGCTGGAGAAAAAAAAACAATTTTTTTTCCTGTTGGTGAGATCAGTTTTCCTGAGATCTAACACTCTTGAAATTATCTATTATACAGAGTATTGCAAATATCATGTTACATGTAGGAAGGGTTCAAGATATGAGGAGACACACTATATACTTATACCAATGTTATCTTTTTTCTTTTGTTCAATTTGGACCAAGAACAAATACTTCAGATATATCATCAAATATGTTTAGATACAATGAAAACCTAGTGCCTACTGACATTTGCTTCTGGTAAACTCCATATTACACATTCTGAGAAGATAACTATCTTTTATGATGATTGAAACAGAAATTTAGATAGATACCTAACAATAAAATGATAGAAATAACAAGCTGAAAAAAATATATTAACCAGAATTGATAGTATCAGATACTTTTTGGAACAGAAGCAAAATCAGAAGCTGGAGAAAAAAAAACAGTTTCTTTTCTTCCTCTTGGTGAGATCTGCTGTAACACTTCTTATGACATGTAGTTTGTACATGTGAAATTTTTTTCCTGAGATCTAACATTCTTGAAATTATCTATTATACATCAGAGTATTGCAAATTTCATGTTACATGTAGGAAGGGTTCAAGATAGAGGAGACACACTATATACCTAGCTATATACTTATACCAATGTTATCTTTTTTCTTTTGTTCAATTTGGACCAAGAACAGATACTTCAGATATATCATCAAATATATTATTTAGATACAATGAAAACCTAGTACCTACTGACATTTGCTTTCTGAGAAAATAACTATCTTTTATGATGATTGAAACAGAAATTTAGATAGATACCTTGATAGATACCTAACAATAAAATGATAGAAATAACAAGCTGAAAAAAATATACTTACCATAATTGATAGTATATCAGATATTTTTTGGAACAGAAGCAAAATCAGATTACTTTTAATGGTCATCATCTGAGACATTTTCAGTTTCTTTATGGAATTTAATGATAGAAGTTGCCCTGCTACAATTATGGTACTATATTAACTACTAACCTTTTCACATGGTTATGAACCAATGAATGTGCTACCAAATCTGAACTGGTTTTGAAAGATTTGGAACAATTATCACAATTATATGGCCTCTCTCCAGTATGTGTTCTATTGTGTCTTATCAGGTTGGGAAGATACTTGAATGATTTTCCACAATCTGTGCAGAGCAAGGGTCGTACTTTGGTATGAGTCTTTTCATGATTTTTAAGTGTAAACATGTGTGTGAAAGATTTCTTACATACTTTACAATGATGAGATTTCTCACCTGAAAATAATGTTTCAATTCTGCATGTATCCAAAAGAAAATCTTGAAAACTACTGCAGATCAATTCATTCCACCTTCCTGAAATAATAATAGTTACCTACCCACATGGGTTTTCATGTGATTGGCCAATCCTCTAGGATCACCAAATGCTTTCTCACAAACTACACAACTAAGAGGTTTTTCTTTGGTGTGGGTTCTCTCATGGATTTTCAAATTGTTTATACAGTGAAAACTTTTTCCACATTCCTGGCACACTTGGTCCTTTTTTTGCCTTGAAATGAATTATATACTCTTTCAAAACTCTTTAAGCTGTTTGTTCTGATGCCTACCCATCAGAGTAAAGAAATATTTTACCTAATAGATTTCAATAGTAAATAAGTGAATATATTATTCCAATACCTATGGTATGCCATATGTTTCTTTAGGAGAGCAGCAGACTTGAAATTTTTATTACACACATAACAAAAATGATTTTCTACAGATGGATGTAGAAGTCTTGTATGTTCTTCAAGAGATTGACTGTCAGATATGAAACCACATATTGAACATTTCTCTTCTGTAAAAATGTCTTCATCATAATTGTTGTCACAATTTGAGCTCTGTTCCAAACTGTTAGCTAAAAAGTACTTGCTCTTATACCATCACACATCAAATTGCAGCATACCAACCTAATACTTGAACAGCTATCTTTTCATCAGTTTCTTCCTTAGTTTCTTCTTTGATGTCTAGTTTTATGTGCTCCTTACTATCATTTATATGATTGGGCTCAGGGTGTTCATTAGAGTAAGATTTATTGGGATCATTTCTGAATTGATTGAATTTGTTTCTGAGAGTTTCATGACTCTTTTCACACAAGTTCCTGAAAGTTATGGCCTCATTCATCCTTTTGAAGCAATCAACACAAATATTTTCTGGGAGACCATCACCATGCTCCAGCTGAAAAAGTTTAGCTGAGGTTTCAGCAGGTTTGTCACACTCAAAAAGTAATTGAAAAATACGAGGAAAAATAGTTAGGTACTGATTCAGAAGATACTTACTTCTATATTTGCACATTGCTTTAACAATTGGACTATACAAGACTGAAATATATTTACTTTCATTGCACTAACACTCATCAGACATGTTCGACAGGATGAAGTGATATCTGGATAGTTCATTGTATGTTTTATTTATCGAATTCGGTGATTCCTGACTTCAATTTTGATTATTTTCAGTTCCTTCTCTTTGGAGTCTTTGGTGCTTTATTGATTATTGATGTTCTGTTTTGACTTTTGACTTTTGGCTTTCATCACTGACGAGCGCCTAGCAACAGCTGCGTACACTACATCTATCATTATAGCTTCCAACGTAACTACTAAGTATTTTTTCTGCATAATAGGTGGGGTGTGTAGCGCGATAGCGCGATGCCCAATTCCCACCATGCCCACCTTTATTTCGACGATTACGAAGATTGCCGAAGAGCGCAACGTTGCCCGGTTAGGAGAAAAATTCAGAAAACACAAGATCCACACCGCGCCCACTTTTCATAGATTCCCACGATGCCCAATTCCTACCATTGTTTTTTTTTTCCACGATGCCCAATTCCTACCATTGTTTTTTTGTCCTAAAATTGTTTCATCCGTCATTCGGTTGCCCCCTTACGAGCAACCCTCAGAAGTCTTCCAGAGTCTTGTGCGAGCAAGGAATGACGGGGGCCTTACCTTTTGACGTGTGATCCCAAACACTTTCTTGGGCCATCAGAAAAATTTCTGCAGTCGATAGAAATCGAACCCACGACCGGCAAGCGAATACGGATTAGAATATTGACACTGTCCGCACGGCTACCTGGCCCGCCTCACCTTTCTTGGATTCCCACCATGTTCACTTTCCATACATTCACACGATGCCCAATTTTCATGCCTACTTTTCATACATTCTCACGATGCCTGATTCCCACCATGCCCACCTTCATCATGGTGGGTATACAAAGAAGGTGGGCATGGTGGAAATTGGGCATCGTAGGAATTGGGCATCGTTTAGAAAATATGGAAAGTGGGCATGGTGGGAATCCAAGGAAATTGGGAATGGGAGGAATTGGGTATCGTGGGAATGTACGAAAAGTGGGCATGGTCGGAACTCAAGTTAGGTGGGCACGGTGGGAATTGTGCATCGTGGAAATGTGTGAAAAGTGGCCATGGTGGGAATCTAAGAAAGGTGGGCATGGTGAGAATTGGGCATCGTAGGAATTTTGCATCGTGGGAATCTATAAAAAGTGAACATGGTGGGAATCTTGTGTTTTCTGAATTTTGCTCTTGGCCTGGCAACGTTGCGCTCTTCGGCAATCTTCGTAATCGTCGATATGAAGGTGGGCATCGTAGGAATTGGGCATCGTGAGAATCGGGCATCATGGAAATTGGGCATCATGGAGAGCCGGCTGCAAATTCCGACCATCTAATAACGAATAATAATGACATATCATTTTCCGAGAATGTGTACACATTGTATTTTACCAAACAGCACTCGTGCTAATCACTATCCTGAGCAAAATGATTGAGAAATTGCACTTCCTTGTGCTGTAATTCAAGCGAAATTTTGCGATTTGATAACTAGATGAGAATTATGTCATAAAACCCCATCTCTATCACCCATCAATCTGTGTCAAATCGTCATCGGCACAGCAATTTTTTTGCTGCCGTTATTCGAGACATACAGGGTGTTATTTAAGTACGTGGCCAAACTTGAAGGGGTGATTCTTTGAGTGATTCTAAGACGAAAAGTTCATATAAACATAGGTCCGGTAATGCTTCGTTTTCAAGATACAAGGTGTCAAAATTTTTAAAAGAAATCGTTTTTTTCGTAAATATCTTAATAACCCTTCAACCGATTTTATTGAAATTTGGCAGTGTTATTCAAGGTCGTAAAGGGCTAATTTAACCCTAGATATATCAGATTTATCATGTCCAGTGGCGTCCCGGAAGGCACTGTAACCAATATTTTTGACAGAAAAAATGTGCGCCACTGATTTTTTTGCAATTTTTGTATTTGTTCCACATTGAGCAACTAGAATAGAGTATCAATATGAAAAAATATTAGTAAGACCCCAGTTTTTGATGGTTTAGTAGTTGAAAATGTTTCATTGTGTTGTCACAGCGATGTGCCATGAAGTGATTTTTATATTTTTTCTCAAAAACAAAGCAAGATACGAAAAAAATTCTAGATATAAAAAAGTTGTAATTTTAGTTGCTCAATGTGAAACAAATACAAAAATTGCAAAAAAATCAGTGGCGCACATTTTTTCTGTCAAAAATATTGGTTACAGTGCCTTCCGGGACGCCACTGGACATGATAATTTTGATATAGTTAGGGTTAAATTAGCCCTTTACGACCTTGAATAACACTGCCAAATTTCAATAAAATCGGTCGAAGGGTTATTAGGATATTTACGAAAAAACGATTTCTTTTAAAAATTTTGACACCCTGTATCTTGAAAACGAAGCATTACCGGACCTATGTTTATATGAACTTTTCGTCTTAGAATCACTCAAAGGATCACCCCTTCAAGTTTGGCCACGTACTTAAATAACACCCTGTATAAAATACAAATGAAAGGCGACTGAGATTAAGATCGTAGCGCCAGAACGGCGAATGTCGGTACTACTCTATGGGCCATTGGCGGATTGTTTACATTGTTTGGTAATGGTGTTTATGTTCATTTCGTTTTGAGTTTTCTAACGTCCAGCTTTGTTATTTGTCTATTTTCGAACTTTGTATTTTCCAGCAGTCTACTGTGTTTTGATTGAGGACTATATTATCTCTGTTCAACATTAGATAACCTCCCTACCTCTAGTTGAACTTCATGCGTAGGGTGTAAGTTTTTATCATTATTGAACAATAATTTCTCATGAAAACCTGTGTGGGATGTTGATTTCCAATTCGAATATATAGCTGGGATATTCCCCTGATAGTGCATGATATTATTAAAACAAAATCCAGCAAATTTTTTGGGAATAAAGTGTTCTTTGGAAGGTGAATTTAGGTAAACAGTTTCTACTTGACTTTTTACAACATAATCATCGAAACCCTGATTGATAACATTCTTTACTGTTTAAAAATTCTACTGTTCATGAGTAAAGATATAATCAGTTTGAAATTTGTTTGTTCTTTTACCACCACCTCAAGAAGTAGGTATTATATTTGTGTAATCTCGTGGTGTATATTGATCACTTTCTCAACGACCACTTGATTTATTTTGCTCGAAAATAATGGACTGTATAACTTTGAATACAACGTTTTAATATGATTATAATATTTGCTCGGTACAGTTCTTGCTCTGTCAAGCTGTTCTCTAATACTACTTAAAAATAACATCAAAATGGGCAAAGGCAATAAACCCTTGAACGAAACTGATTTACGACGGGGTTCGAAGAATAGCAGGTACTGCCTAATCTCTCCGCATACTCAAACAAGTGTTGAAATATATAAGAAAGATGGTCCTTATGTGTGATATACGTAACATGAGTCCCCCCTTGAAAGGATATGCCTTTCAATAATCAAAAACAAATATGCAACCAAGTTTATCTATATCTAAATTCACTGAAACTAGTTAAACTGACGGTTCTTCCGTGTCTATAGGTAATAAGCAAATTTTGACTACCCCGCGTTTCACCAAACTGTTCGCAGTCTTTACTGTCACCACTCTGACTATACCGTCCTTCCCAGGGTGTATTTCAGTTATACGCCCCATACGCCAATTCATTGGTGGAATGTTGTCCTCCTTCAGGATCACCAAAGCACCCACAGGAACCACGTGTGGAGGCTCGCACTGCCATTTATTTCTCTGCTGCAGGGAGTTCAAATAGTCACGTGACCAACGTGACCAAAAATGCTGTATCATCAATTTGAGTTGTTTATATCGGGAGACATGAGTACTGCGAACATCTTCTACGCTGACCTCAGAAACTGCATTCAGCTTACTGCCGATTATGAAATGTCCTGGTGTCAATGGCTCAAAATCGTTCGGATCATCCGTGAGGGGAACAAGGGGACGGGAGTTCAAAATCGATTCTATTTGAGTGAGGATTGTATAGAATTCCTCATAATTCAAATGCACGTTATTTAGAATTCGTTTCAAATGGAATTTTGAGGATCGCACTGCAGCCTCCCATAATCCTCCAAAATGGGGGGATCGCGGTGGTATATGGTGCCAAGTGATTTTATGTGATATTAAGAATTCATGAACTTTATCATCACTTGACATGTCATTAACTTCATTTAGTATTCGCTCAGCGCCAATAAAATTAGTTGCATTGTCCGAGTATATGTCGCTACAAAGCCCGCGTCTAGAAACAAATCGTTTGAGACAGTTTAGAAATCCTTCTGCTGTTAGGTCACTAACTAACTCTAGATGGACTGCCTTAGATGAGAAACATATGAATACACAAACATAGGCCTTGATAATTCTTCTGTTTCGAATTTTACTATCTTTCATGTCAAACGGACCACAATAATCGATACCACATATAACAAATGGTCGGGATTGGGTAACTCTTGATTCAGGTAAGTCTGACATTTTTTGAATGATGCTCGTAGGTTTAACTCGAAAACAAGTAATGCACTTATTTATCACACTTCGGACAGTACGTCTGCCATTTAACGGCCAATAATTATTTCTAATCATAGAAAGAATGGTTTGTGTCCCGGCATGTATATTTTTATGATGTTCATACCGAATTAATAGAGTTGTGAAATGGTGTTTGGCTGGTAATACTATTGGGTGTTTATTTTCATATTTCAATTGGGAACGCTCTAATCTACCACCAACACGTATAATTCCATGAATGTCTATGAACGGATTCAGACAAGCTAACTTGCTCTTGCGATGCACTGCGTTTTTAGTCTTTAATGCGTGAATTTCAGCACGGAATTCATTCGATTGAATTAATTTTACAATAGTTCGGGTGCTTTCAGTAATTTCTTCAATAGTAAGTTTGCCAGTTATTCTTAGTTCACGACTCGAACTAGCATTCACCTTAAATCGAATTAAATATGCAATTACATGAATTAATTTTTTGAACGAGGAAAAACGAGATATTAATTCTTCGCCAACGCCAATAATAGTGGAAGTTAATACAATATTATTCTTCTTCATTTCTGGGATTTCGACTTGCTTGCTTATTTGTGTAGGCCAAAACTCAGCACCTTTTGTAAGCCATGTTGGGCCATCCCACCATAACGAAGCATTTTTTATCTGATTTGGATTAAGACCTCTCGATAAAATATCGG